GACGAAAAAATTTTCTTACTCCCTTTTATAAGACTTTCTTTCACGTTTCTGATCATTCTCCAAAAATGCAAAAAAAAATATTTCTTCTGGTCGTCTGTGCGTATGTGTGCCGGTACGATAACGCTAGAAAGAAAGAACCAATTGACTTGTGGTTTTGATTTTCTTGAATAACTTAGAACCCTATTAATTTTCAGAATTTTCGGTTCAACCTACCTACTTTAATAATATCCTTAAATCCCATGCGGCTTATTTTACTCATTCCAATACAGTAAAATCAGAATTTTGAGTTAATGATTGTGTTATCGTCTAGATGAACTATGCGAAATGTGTGAAATTTGAGGACAATAATTACATTTTATTTACAACCATATATGTAATGTTGTCATTACTAACGTCATTGAAGGTTGGAAAGTGTCACATTACACACCTCTACTTCCCTCCCTGACTTCCCGCCCTCATTTCATCTATTCTAGATGAATATTTTTTATATTAAAAAAAAAAATAACACAGTGTTTGACAAATTTTATAATACCTATTTTAATGGCAAACAATAAAAAACAACAATGATCTAAAATATAACAAACTACTTATTGATATTTATTATTCGCGAATTTAATATCCGGCTTTATCTGACATTTATTTATATTGGTGACAGTTGTTTACCCCGTAATCACAGTAACAATATATTTACCTAGTTGATTATTCTGAGAAAACCGCGCGCTTGGTAATTTGTCGTTGAATGTAATATTTTAGGTATGTTCAGAACAAAACAAAGATTTATTAACTTTGATCGAAATATGATGGTTGTAAATAAAATAGTATACAAACCTCGGTCGGAAGTTTCATTCCTGTCTCGAGATCATAGCTAACCTCGACGCTTCGCGTCTCGGTGATCTAACTAATCTCACGACAGGAATTAAACTCTTCCCACCTCGGTGTGTAATATACTATTGTAATATTACAATAAGTCGGAAAACGTATTGCATTAGTAAAAAAAGCCACATGAATAAATTTAACCCCAATGTAACGTTCTTCAATTAACCAAAGTAAGATCTAGTCATGTAAGTAACACAAATAGTAACCTAATTTTGTCACAAAGTATGTATTTATTTATTATTGTTTTAGAACAAGAAAATGGATTCAAAACGTTAGAAAAGAAGATTTGATATAGGAAGAAAAATATCTGAATTCCCATTCTTGAGTTTGCACTCAACATTTTGAAATAAGACACCATTCGTTTGAAAAATAAGAACAAAAATGTAATATTACAAATAACGATCAAAAATTAAAAAATATTTGTCATGAATAGATTTACAATAATTAATCGATAATAGACTGTAAGTGTAGTATTCTTTTTAATAAATAATTTGATTAAATTTATTTACAAGACCATGAGAGTGCAGTCGATATTTATACAACCTTTAATTATTAGGTTTTTAAATTTCCCGCTGCGTTGTTTGATATCGATAAAAGCGCCACATAGTGGGTCAGATGTTAACTGTGTTAAAGCTGGTCCAGAAGCTGAGCATTGGCTTCTTATGTGCGTTTCCTATCTTTATCTCCCTTATCTCTGTTGTTTTAGTATTTATAGACAAAATGTAAAACCATTGTATTTAGAGAAGATAGTAGAACAACCTTATAAACGTTTCATTGGAGGCAATTCTGTCGCGACATCTGTTAGAAATTCATCAAAATAGCCCGAACGCTAGCGCTTCCTCGATCATTGAGTAAAGAATTCTATATACATAAAATATTCATAATTTTTAAATTCATATGGGTACAGTACCAAATTTAAATTACTATTGTTTATATTCTCTAAAATGATGATAAATCGTAAATAAATGTTTATCAAGTATAATTAAACTCCTATATCTCATTTTTAAAACAAATATTCTGAATCTATTATCAGTCCATCTATTAGTAAATAGAGAAATATTGGAACAATGTTGTTGTATGTATTACCTGTATTTTTTTCTTTTTTTACATGTCGTGGATAAACCGACCTGGGGGACTCTGCACAACGTAACAACCACATATCAGCGGAGGTGAAAAAGGATGATGTGGGCCGCTGGCGTATGATCGAAACTCAGAAAGATAGGCTGTTGAATGGAGGTCAACCTTTAATGGATGAGGTAATCTGCCGGGATTGTACAATATAGAAGAAAGTTAATGAATGGAAATAGGAAATGGATGAAGAAATTAAACACTAAACAAAAGATAAAGGTACTTACCACAAAAAGAGATAATCCAAACTTCACCAACACCAAAAGATTCACTTATATCAAGTAATTTTGTATCAAATCTAATTAATAAAAAAACTTGAGGAACGAGAGCAAAGGTACCTTTCACTGAATAACCAAAGCACAATAGACATTTTTCTTGGGAACGACACGACACGCAGAGGAGAATCAAGCCAAATTAAATTAAACCACACTGCAATACGAGTAAATCAGCCCACGATGTTCGCCAGATGATAATGGGAAGTTTTTCCTCACATATTTCCACGTCCGCTGGGTCAACCATGGTCATCGGCGAAAATCATAGTCCTGTCCTTTCTTCACTACGAGTTTCGATAAATGCAACAGGCCTGCATGACATCATATCTTGTCTCTCAATGGAACATGACACCTGAGCGAAGGCCAATCGAAATGGGATTCTTGTGAAGTGTTAACCAGCAGAATCGAACTAGCCCAGTGTCAACGGACGAAATAATTGTTATCCGAAAAATTCTATAAATTTTTTGTATTGTAAAATAAATTTTTTGAGGTAGTACATAGTAGGGTAGGATTAGTCAATAGGTAGGTCAAGGGTCGAGGGCGACCCTTTTCCGGGGCGAAGGCACATGATACGAATTAATATAACACCCTGAAAATAGGTATGTTATTATTTGTAAAGTTTTGTCAAGGGCAGGCGCGCTAAACATAGATTCAATAAAATAATAAAACGTGTAGTTGGACAAGGTTTTATTAAATCATAATATTAAAGTACAGGGTCAAGAAAGATCAACAAGAGCACTCTTGAAACATTACAAGTGAATATTCGGGGAGTTCCTTTTGGTCTTGGTTGACGAGCGGTCGAAATTATTCGGGTTAAGGGGATTCCTTGTTTTATTTTCGAAAGTAGAGTCACGGGTCTTCTATTAGTTTTTTTGTAAAACCATAGTGATAAAAGTATCGTGTGCTTCCGCCAGCCTTGCAGCCCAACAGATATAGAATACAATGCTTATGTAAGTAAATAGTTTTAAGTAGTTATATTTAGTTATTGTGTAGTCAGTAAAGACTACGTGATTGCGGAAGCAATATTAGTTGTTTTTATTTGTTAAATAAATCACAGTTATTTGTTTTACGCTTGTTTTAATTTTCTTTGGTTTATGAAAACTTACGATCATTCAAAGGCGGGGGTATTGGCTTAGTCAGATCTCTGAGAAATGGAGATACTGCCAAAGGGAAGAGTCCCTGTAGGGCAAAACCTGTCCCCGTCCTCTGAATCATCATCAGGAAGTTAGGGTTCCTTTTGAACTTAACCCCCTAGCCGTGTGTTGTCTAGAGGCCAATTTAAATATAAATTGGCCTCTAAATTGGTAACTCGTGGTTACCGCTAAGATTGGACTTAAGGGTCAATCAAAAAGGCCTATGGCCAATGACGTTAATAAAGGTCCAAACTTCTAGATGTTAGAAGAGCGACGGGCTAGTGTTGTTGATTTTAAAGATTGAGCAGCGAAAGTGATAAAAATGTCTCTTAAAATTCGTTCAGTTATATTAAGATATTAACCCAAAAAAAATTAAAAGGCAAAGGTTTGAAATAAAACAGTACATTATCTTCAAAAACGCAAAATGATCCAACATCAATTATTTTAAAAATAAGTATTTTAACAGGTGCCATGGGGCCACGGACCGTCAATGAAATATCGATATGGAGATAGTTGACACATAGGAACCGTCCGAACCACAAGTTTTCATTGATTATGTGAACTGTAGGGCACATATGTAATTATCAACAGATTCTCAAGGTTCAGCGTAACAATAATTTTTTAATAACCGACTAGAACAATTTTTAATTATCTTTAGCGTTAATTTACTAGTTCATTTTGCATTTCCAGTAATGTTATTGAAATATATCTTTAAATAACGCTTGAATTGGTCTTATTTATTTTTTAATACAATAATATTATATTGTGCATGGTTAAACTACTTTTTACATAAAACTGTAAACAATTATTTGATTGAATTTCAGAAATGATGCATTTCAATAGTCTGATCTACTTTGTGTAATTAAAAATGTACTTTAACATAATAAAACGACAACGAAAAAACCATTAAGAATAATACTTAGATTTAATATATTATATAACTTAAGCTATATAAAACTCTACTTATACCTACTAGTTATAGAGCCAACGTGCAGATATATGACTTATTTTCTTACGGTTGAATTTATTATTAAAGTGTCCAACGAATTTGACTGATTTCTATTTTATTTTCAAGTTTTTTTCTTACCACCATTTTAAAATGGTGTGTGAGTAGGCATGCGCGTGACTTATTTTCAAACCTGGATGTTTGTATCAAAGATAAAGATCATAGTTTTTCACTGAATTAGTATCCGATAAAAATATGGGCCATTTTTCGTGTCTTTTCTTAATAATGGCACTGGATAAAACCAAAAGGCCAGACTATTGCAGTAATCCATAATTATTTAATTGTTTTATCCACTATTGTTACATGATTACATTATTATCATTATTATATGTTAACTTACAGCTATCAAAATACCTGAGTTGAACATAAATAATTCAGCTATAAGAAAATAAGTCAAGCACAAGCCCACTCACTCAAGTGTTTAAAACGTTAGAGAAGAATGGTTCAGCAAAATTGGTGGGAGGTTTAATAGTTTTTGTAGGTGAGTGCTTATCATCGAATGAGCATTAAGAAAATATTAAGAAAGTAAATTAATTTTTCGGTAGGCAGGTACCACTTGTAATGCCTATAACTATTTACCTAAAGCCCCAGTCTGAACGTAGCGTTTAATAACAAATTGAGCCATAAAAAATAAGTCACAAATCTGCACGTTGGATTTAGAACTATCTATAGTACTTGGTAAAATCTGGGATTTTAAATAATTTATCATTAAATATTTATCAGTAATTATTTCTGCTAATTAGATACTACGTACCTACCCTATTGAGTATTTCAAATTGGAAGATCAAAAAATAGTCAAAATGTGGATAGTAGAGAAGGTGGTAATATGGAACCCTTTAATATTATTTTTCTAAATATGATGAATATTGTCATTTAATTTCGTTATATATTATTAATTGTAATAAAATGTAGGTAATCCTGTTATATTTGCGAATTTTTGTATAACAGAGCTAATGATAGCAAGTTAGCCAAAACTAGTACACTATCAGTGAGTAGCATCTTCAATTTTTAATCAAAAAACTTTTATACTGATGAATTTGGAGTTTCTTTATTCTTTTAAATATCACTAGCACATAGATAATCTTTCGTGTTTTGTATATGTTTGTTTTGTTTATGTTTATTTAAAAATAAATGCTTTTTATTTTAATATAAACTTTAATTTTAAATGATCTATATTACGTTTTAATTTGACGTTTTTCAATATAACCATGCGCAGTACCAAAGTAACTTGTAACATGTAACGGTAAACTTGTTATGGTCCTTTTGAAAAATGTAATTAACTGCCCGTTAACTTTAATTATTCAATGAACCGTTGATGGTTTGTTAGCTGTTTTTCACATTCAACTGTAAAATCGTTATGGCCCATTTGAAATTTGTAACCTTTTAACTTTAATTATTCGATGGGTCGTTGACGGATTTTTAACAGTTTCCCACATGCAACTGCGAAATCATTATGGCTCGTTTGATATTTGTATTTAACTGTCTCTAAACGTTAATTCCCAAGCAGAAAGGTGCCGTCATTATGACGTGATTTTTTTGGGTTTACTCGTCAGAAACGTCACTATCCCAACTAATGACGTTACTTTGACGTCGTTTTTATAACGTTAAATAGACGTAAATACAGACCCGTCATTATGACGTATTTTTTTAGTATTAATTTATCCGAAATACAATATCCTAATCAGTAACGTGAATTTGACGTCGCATTGATGACATTGAATAGACGTCACTTAGAATTCGTCATAATTACGTTATTTTTTCGTATATTTCTGGCAATGTCATACTGTCAATTGTCATTGTTGTTTTCTGTTTGATAAGATGTTTTAGAAAAAAGGTAAAAAATTTAATGTGACAAAATAATAAAGTATATTAAACCGAATTTGATATTTAACAGATGTATTGCATTGTTGAGTTTGAAAAACCGGATGATGACGGTCTGGCGGTTGTGAGGTGAGCAGAATATGGCTGACGCTGCGTAAAAAACAAGTCTTTTGGCCACCTTTATAAAGAAATATATAAAGAAATATAATATAAGACTGGTGAGTAATGTTATACTTTTATTTTTTTATTATGAGTTCTTTTAGGGTATTTTTTAACAGTTTATTTTAAAATAAAAGATTTTTAGGGGGTCACTTGATTTAGATACCTTTTATCATCTCACAGAACATATCTTTTTTTTTAATTAACTTTTATTATAAACTCATGACTATATGTATACCTCTGAGAAGGTAGTTTTTGGGGCTACTACCTCAATCTCTGGTGAAGATTTTACAATTAGATACACAATTTACTTTCTATCTTTAAGAATTTTCAGTGGTCTATATTTTAATAGTTCTTTTAATTTAGATGATAATGATAAGTGATGTACCAAATTAAAAAAAGTCGAAGTTTCCTTGGATCTACATTCCGAGGCTGATAAAGTACCTACTAAAAGAAAACAGGTTCCAACTAGAAAGCTGTCATTCGATGATACTAAAGATGATGAAATCGGAAAGCATGTTCGCCCACCCCCAATTTAAAACCAAATCTCCAATTTTTAGGTATGTTGTGTCAGTTCTTCTAATATTTTTTTTGTCATTTTATTCCGTTTGGTTTTTTGCTCATGACTTTTTTATTTACCAGTGTAATTTATTTTTTATAATATATTTTTCATGTGTTTTTTGGATTAAATAAATAACTTTCACCTGCTTCGTATTTTTAATAATTCCATCCAACCTTGGGACACCCAATATAGACTTTGACTTAAGGTAGATTCGTGATAATGACGTCAATTTGCCGAGCCTAGGACACCCGATATACACGTTACTTTAACGTGATATCGATTCGTCAAAATGACGATATGGAATGACGTTTTTTCGCTGTGACATTCTCACGTTACCATAACGTTATTTTCACGTCATCAAATGACGTAACGCGCACCAAAAAATCACGTCCTAATGACGACATAATGTTGCATGGGTTATTTGATGGGCCGTTGACGGCCTTTTAGCGGTTTCCCACATTTAACTGTAAAAGCCTGGTAAAAGTTAATAGGCTTTTAACTCCAGCAGGCTCCGCCTAGCATTTATAGATGGAGAGCGATGATCCCTTGCTGCATACTCAACGAGTGGACATGTACTATGCGGCCAGTCTCACATTGCTGGTATTCACTATTCAGTATTCATTGTAATTTTTTACTTTTACATGTTAATTTATAATATTTAAAAGCTCGGCGTCATTTTTATAAGATCCTTATCCTCTTTGATAGGAAGTTAACATTAATAGTATGGAAAACTGCTGGCCATACGCAGGCCTTTCACTACTTATGCTTGGTAAAGTTACGAGCCTTATGCAAATCTATTGAAGGATAGTTAACATTAATATAATGTGCAAGCATTTTACTGCTTATTGCTGGTAGTGACGACGAACTTCTGCCGCGTGTTGAGACTCTTACCGAAAGGCCACTACTTGAAATAACGTACGTAAGTTTAAATGCCATTAACTTGCCAGAACAAAATATTTGTTGGGACATTTATTCAAGCTAATTTTATCTAAATCCTATCCAAAAAAAATCATCAATAGTCAAAAAATTATTTCCGTCTGTTTAAGAAAAACAAAGCGGGGTTCCATATTATCATCTTCTCTTCTATTTATTGCCATAGAAGCTTTACAACTCCATTTTAACCATATACGTATTGTTTCAAATCACAATATACCTAGGTACGATTTAACGAAATATCGTCCAAGTCTTTTGCCCACTTTGAACTCTTATCTAGTAACAATTAAAACTAATTTGTGCAGTAATTAATTTTTCTAAATTGCCAATAAATATTATACTTCCAATATAGATGATGAATACGTATATGATTTTCATTAATTAGAAATACAATTCGAAAATGTAAACAATGGAGCAATGCAAATATAAGAATTTCAGGTTTAGAACTTCCTTAAATCCGTTTTCTATGCTAAAATAAGCCGTAAATGTACTATTAATATTTTACTAGAATTTGGAAATTGCACGCATTACAGCATCAAATTACGATGCAGTTACATGAGTTACATAATAATCTACGAGGTATGGCTGGAAAAAAGCGGAGTGATCATTCTGCAGACAAACTATGCGGAGTGGGCCAGAAGACACTGACAACTGTACAAAAACCAACTTTTAAATCAAAATATTTACCTCATTATGCTTTTATTTATATAATCGGCATTAAAAAACGATCCACGTTTTTATTGAAAAAAACCTTGCTGTGGATTATTTATCAAATGTGTGTGAGTAGGCTTTTGCGCTTCGAAATCCAACCGCAAAGTTGACGTTTTTCGCGAACTGACATTGTGATAGCTTTAGCTATAACATATATTTTCCTTCGCATCAAAAGTGTAGCACTGAGCTACGCCACTTCTGAAAATATTATTCCATTTATAAAAAATTGCATGGATGGAACGATATTTTCAGAAGTTTTGTAACTTAATGCTACACTTTCGATGTAAAGGAATAGACATAATATAATATTTCTTTTTAATGATTTTCAAAGCATTTGTACGTAATTTTTTTTTGTTATATTATCCAAGTTAACATAGACTTTAGAGATCAACTGTTTTTTTCACGATTAACGTAGATATAGGCAACACATTATACACTATTTACGACAAATTTTTAGTTTTTATATCTATTTCTTAAAAAATTGTGATCGTAGAAAAAATATTGTCTTCATTTTGAGTAAAAAATTTGTTCCTTCTTCCGCTTTAGACAGATTGTCGTATCATTTTTCGCTCTTAATACACAAATAGCTATTTTGACCCTCAGAATTAAGCAAGTAATTTTGTTTCATCAAGTAGCTTTGACCATGTATTTCAACATTATAATTGGACTTTTCCCGAAAACGGTCGACTTTAGAGCGTATGACCAAGAGTACCTTTTTTGTGTAGAAAACATTGGCGGTTCAAATAGGCGTCTCAAAACCGTACTTTTTCCAGTGGCGAAGAAATTTTTTTTCAATTTCAACACCCTGTATCTCAAAAATGGTGCATTTTAGAGGGTAAGTTAATAGAAACGTTTTTTCATATTTTTGGACGAGTTATCACGTCCTGAAGTCCTGAGCATATATTAGGAAATATATATATTGTTATATAGATTGATCATCCATGTTTTTTAAAATAAACATAACCTTATCCTTGAAGTAAAAATGTACTATATTCAAAGGCTGAAACTTGGTTTTAAAACACATTTTTGCTAAACCGATTCTGATTAATGAGCACTTGCGAGGCAATATGGCAGCTCGCAAAAATATACAGGGTGTCCCAAAAAAGTAGGACAATTCGTTAACCATAGATTCCTAAGGTCAGTGTAAGAAACCTCTATTATTATTTTTATTAAATGGGGCCATCATGTTCAATATACAGGGTGACTTGCAACTATGAGGTAGGTGATATATAGGCTCAAATTATGATTTTTCAACCCAAAAAACCCCGGGGTACCAATTTTGAGCCATCTACTTAATAAAACGATGAAAATATAAAGAAAAACGTATTTTTTAAAATTACCTTGGTCACCCTGTATATTGAACATGATATGGCACCAATCTAAAAAAATAATAATACACTGACCTAAGGAATCTATGGTTAATGGATTGCCTACTTTTTTAGGACACTCTGTATATGTGACAATAACCCTGTCAAAGACAACAGGCCCACATAGGGTTGCCATATCATAACATGTCATTACCCACGCTCAATATTTTAACAGGTCGTTGGAGTGCCTAATTAGACAATCAAAATCACGTGACTTTAAATACTCTTGGCAAAAACAACCAAAGGGTGTGCTTTTCTCGACAAAAAATACTTCTAGTGAGGTTTTTTAGTCTAAATTTGCATTATTTTTAGAGTTTTTTTTCGGTGTATTTAGTTAAAAAATTGCATAACATATTTATTAGGAATATATGAATTGTACGATTTCCAATAACAATCAAATAGTAATGAAGTCATGTCATAGTCAGGTCAACAAACTTATTTGTTGTTTTTGACAAGCATCGGCCATTTTTGTCCATTCTGTCAGGACATTAGATTGTCTAATACGCCAGTTTAGCGTGATGTCATTTTGGTTCCACTGACATTTAATTCTAACCAAACTTTTGACAAAAACATCAATAAATTTGACATATATACGTTTTTAATGTTTTAAGTTTTTTTCTAAATATTGTTTACAGGTCATAAAATAGTATATTATGACACTAATGCATAATCGAGCCTTTAAAGCATGAGCAACGAGTTTAAGGCCACGACGCGCAGCGGAGTGGCCTTAACGTACGAATGCGTAATTCAATTACAATAGTAATACTAGTAATAACTACAATTATTTTAATTGAAAAATGCAAATTAATAATTTCCATGCATTTTATCGAGTAGGTAAATGTCATTTGACATTTAATTTAAATATTAGGATAATTTTTCTGTTTATGTTACTTGATTTAGGGAAACTTGTAAACAATTTCATTAATTTGACAATTTAAAATAAAATCTGTCATATTTTTATCTTATTTATTGAAGCGGTTACCTAGCAACCTTTTATGCACGCTTTTTGGAATAGTTTACGATACATGAATACTAAAAGTAACTTTAATTGTCAGTGAAACCAGAATTACATTATCACTAAAATGGCGTATTGGAAGCATGTAGAGCTGTAAAAGCAAAATAGATGGAGATCATTAACATACTTTCAAAAATTGACCTAACTGGACATCACCGTCACCGGACCAATGAGAAATTCCCATGAACCAGTGTAGGGATCGTAGAGGTAAAAGTATATATTGGGTAAAAATTTTAAAAGAAAACCCTGTAAGATTTTTTTACGAACACTATCTAAAGTAGGTATTTAAACATTCGAATCTAATTGGAATGTTCACGTTTTCCGCGATTTGTCATAATGTGACATTAATGGTTAGTAACTTTGGCGCTTGCAGTAAATAAAAGTACCTAGTTATTATTAAAGCTTATCGGTATTTTAAAACAAAATGTCGGATAATCTAAATATTTTAGTTGAACATCTAATATTCAACAATAATATTTAAACGATAATTAAAATATTGAAAATAGTTTACCCCGATTTCAAACTGCACGTAAGTAGGCAACATAATATACACATATTATACTTCACTTGAAGTAAAATTTGAATTTGGTAATATCGTGTGATCGTAGAAATCTTGCATGTAATTCGAGCGGAAAGCTGTTTGCCGCTTACGATAAATTGTCGAGCGGCAACTTTCCACTCTTAATACAAAAATAGCTATTATAGCACTAATTCGCTTCCTTTAGCCACACCTTGTAGTGTAGATTTTAGCATTTTACCAAAAAAATCACTAAAAATGCTATAAAAAAAACTATTGAAAGTTCTATACATGAAAAACTGTAATACATAACTTTAACTTGTCTAATAATTGATCAAAGTTAGTAAAAATTCGATTAGGTACATTTATGTAAAAACTTCAAAATTTTAAATATTAGTAAATACTGACAAAGCTCCACGTACCACTACGTATTTTTGATAATAGGACTGTTTTTAAAGAAATAATTGGATTCCCAGTCAACGTTACTAGAATTTTATCAACATTACAAAATGGTCTATAAACTACATTTAAGTTCACTTGTGGACGTTGAATTTAAAAAAGTTTTTTCAGTTGCAAGAAAGATCATTAGTACTAATGATTAAAAAAAATATTCTTAAAATTGGATATCACAATAATTAAACAAATAATTTAAACCATATACAGCAGTTAAATAATCATTAGCACTATATTGAACTGCCATGCAACTATAAATATCTACGATAATCGATTAATAATTTAGAATATTCTAGAACTATAGGAAAATAATTATTCTTCGGGAGAGGGCGTCTGCGATTGTTCCTGCTTGAACACTTTTCTTTTGCATAATTTGAAGATTGGTATGATCGTCAGCATCACTCCTGATATTGCTATAAATAAACCAGCCATGTAAAAAGACATGTTGTATGTACCAGTTATGTCGTAGATCCACCCTGAAAAATATACATTATTATTATCTACTTTTCATTATAATGTAGGATTTAACATTTTTACAACTTGTAGATTTTAACAAATCAAACTGTCTGGCCCTTCGATCATATAAACAGTATAATATACTATATAAATGTTTTCAAATCGCATTCCATTTGGTTAAAGAAGTAACGATATCACATTTGTTTTACCACAATTTGAAGGCCCTATTAGATGGCTACATAGTCTATTAGGCAACAACGGACCATCGAAATCGTCTCGAACATATGCGCTTTTTACAATCTTTTCCAGTCCAACAATGTGCTCAACCAAAGAGGAGTTATTCTCGACCTTGTTTTGTCCCCTGTGGAACTTACAGTGATGGTAGCCATTGATTTCTAGATCCCACCTGATGTTCATATCATCCTCTTCTTGAAACTTCAATTCAATATAAGACGAACTCAAGTGATGCTCCTGGAGAAGAGTATTATTATGATTTTTGCCACGCCAATTTTGAGGGTATACGCCAATGTTTGAAAGCAATGGATTGGGATGGGATTCTTCAAGGAAAGGAACTTTCAGAAATGATTCTTACTCTTTATGATGCTTTGTAAACAGGACTCCTTCAAATTAATAAATATTCAGCCAGTTAAGATTACAATGCAGGATTATATCTCGAGAATGCTAGTCAAACTACATACATTCTGTTGAAACTTCTGTTAAAAGTAATGTTAAAGCCTTTTGGAATTTTGTAAGTACCAGAAGATCTAATAACACCATACTTGATAATATGAACCTTGAAGACTCTTTTGTTTCTTGTGGCCGTGAAGTATCAAATCTGTTTGCTACGCATTTTTCATCAATTTACACTAATCAAAATCTAAATCAAAATTTTAACGAAATTGCATCAAAACTTAATGTTTCCTCTTACCACATTTCTATTTCGACCATTTACGAGAAATTATCTGATCTTGACATAAAGAAAGGTTCAGGTCTTAACATTTTTCTTCCCATCCTACTCAGAAATTGCAGCTTCCTATTGTCTCGCCCTCTCTTCTATATTTTCAATAAATCTATTGTCACGCGTTAGTTTCCAGATTATTGGAAACTATCTTATGTCTCCCCAATTTACAAATCAGCTAGCAAGTCAGACGTCAAAAATTCCGACCTATATCTATTCTTAGTACTATACCTAAGGTTTTTGAGAACATTATAACAGACTACCTTACCTATGACTACTCTGGCATCATAACGGATCATCAATATGGTTTTTGTGCTGGGAAATCGACTGAATTAAATCTAGTTACCTACGTCGACTTTCTGTCGAAAGTTTTGGAAAAATGTTGCCAGATTGATTCTGTGTACACTAACTTTTCTAAGGCTTTTGACAGAGTCAACTACTTCAAAAGCTCGATAAGTATGGCATAAATGGAGTTGTACTGCAATGGATTAGTAGCTTTCTTTCGAACAGAACTCAAATGGTTAGAGTAAACCATTACCATTCTAACTCATTTCAAGTTACCTCAGGTGTTCCTCAAGGATCACACCTTGGTCTCTTATTATTCAAGTTATTTATAAATGACATCATTCATTGTTTTCAGTATGGCAAAGCACTATTGTTTACAGATGATTTAAAAGTTTTCATATCGGATAATAATCTATCAAACTGGTGTTCCTTAAATGGCATGGACTTGAATGCCATAAAGTGCCATGTCATGCGCTTTTATCGATCCCATGTATTATAACTTAAATGGTCATATCTTGGAGTCTATTTTTCAAATTAAAGACCTTGGAGTTATTCTAGATCCCACTTTAAGCTTCAATCAACAAATACCTAAGGCTATTCATAAATCCATGAAAATGTTAGGTTTTATCAAAAGGCTAACACATGATTTTAATGACACAACTGCAATTAAAGTCCTTTATTGTTCACTAGTCCGAGTTCACCTAGATTATTGCTCTTCTGTCTGGTCTCCACATTACATAACGCACAGCAGAAACATAGAAAATGTGCTACATAAATTTCTTAAATACATAGCCTATAAATTGGGTTTATGGTTTGATAGAGAATTTTTTTAACATCCCCTCTTTGGACACTAGGAGGAATCAGAGAGACCTGACATTACTTTTCAAAATTATCAATGGTAGATGCAGTTGTACTGAACTTCTAACAAAAATACATTTTTATGTTCCAACCCGCTCAACTCGACAGCAACAAACATTTTATGTAACTTTTTATCGTTTAAAGCATACTTTTAGCAGCTGTATTCCAAGAATGTTAAGTTTAGCTAACACTATTAACGATCTTGAAATATTTAACACCCCCTTTCATAAATTTATAAAGCAATTACTTAGTACTGAGCTTCAATCTTTGATCTTTAATTTTTAATGTTTAATGTAAATATTTTATTCAACCTTATTGTCTTTTGTCTTTTTAAATCTTTTAAATTCTTTACCTATTTAAGTCACCAACTTTTTCATTTAAATTCTATATATAAATTTGATTATGAGCATTGTTTGGTTATCTTAAGGTATATAAGCGATCATCCGACGAATCATTAATTTATATAAAATGTCTAGCATCAAACGAAAAAGTAGGGTTTGTTAATTTCCTAATAAATAAATTACCATTTTGAGCTGCATATACCCGGACACCAATATTGTAGGTCAGGTACGCGCTTTAAAAAACGTTTTACCTCGTAAAGACTTCGGAATTAATGAATTAAATAAGCCCTGTAATTTAAAGTACATGACATCGCTTACTCTACAAGCGCAAACGATTTAAAAGCGAGACATATTGCTGACAACATAGATAACAGGTGATGTTGTACAAATATCGTGCTGTCGTGAAGACATACTCTAAGTGACACATAAAGGTATAATATCCGCTGATGTCATGCCTATTTCATTATTCTCGTTTTGTGTACAAAATTATTTACATATCTTAAGAAGCTAAAATAATTTAACCTATTTTATTGCAACTAAACCCAAAAAAAATTGAATCATTAGTTATATCAAATGTAACTTAATTAGATGTAATTTCACTAAATTAGATTAATAATTTTCAATAAATTCCAAAACCTAGTTAATGTTGAGTTGAATATCAAGTATTGTTGTAGCTTGCATTTTGTACGTTGTTTATTATGGACGTACAGCGGCTTACATATTTATTCATTGATAAAATTGTTTTGTAGGGCCGTCGAATCCATTAGTTTATCCCTTCCCATACCTCACACCACATATCTATTCACTCCTGATTTACAACTGAACCGTATCGACTGTGATATCGATGTTGGCGTCACGAATATTGTATTTATTCTCTGGCTGACAAGGAGTGTCAAGAATTAGATTGGGCTAGGTTTAAAGCTAAAGACTTGTCAGTTGATAAAAAAGTGGCCGCCTAGGCAGTCACAAATATCATGAAATAAAAACGGACTTTCTCGGCATAAGATATAAATTAAGAACTAGAAGAACAAAAAGTAAAAAACTGTTTATATGATCGAGTAAGGTCTGACCACAAAATGTTAAGTCACTGTAGTCTGAATAAAAGAGGAGTGCAGTAAAAGTGGGGATATAACGTCACATTTCATAGGTGTACTTTGCAAAACAAGTTTGTATAATATAAATAAGGCCACGGTGTATTAAATGGTATACAGGCATGAAAATTTAATTCATTTATATTTTTTTGCAGATGAAAATATGATATATTTGGAAGAGTGGGACTATTTTTTATTTCTGAGTATTAATTTTTTAAGTGTAAGAATTTCATTTCGAAAGGAAAAAGAATGTACCATTTGCCTTATTACATTCTTTACTCAATTTTCAATAAAGGTCTTGTTTGTTCCTGGGGGCTTTTTCCGATTTGACACTTTTCCAATTTACTGTATCTTGTTTAATAATGTTATACACTGTCATCTTAGATACTCTAGTATAGGTCTCACATTAGGTCGCTATGTCATCCACAGAAAGTAAAACAAAGTCTTTTCGAAGATATTTTCATTAAAAGATAATGCCTTATGTCCACTAGTTCATTTACGCTTACTTGCTCTTGCAATATTTTCTAATGCATTCGCCATTCTTATATAACTGTAGAACTAAAATAATACAAAATTCCGAATCAATTAAAATACATAAGGTTATGAATAAATAAAGTCTGACTTAACTGTCAAAAGAAAAAGTTTATTACAGTAAAAATCATGGAAACATGATTAAATCTAAACGAGAACTTTATTAGGCTGATCAGATGTGTTAAAATTTTCATTTTAACTACAAATAAGCATTAAAGGATGAGGTATAAATAAAATATCTACCTCTTGAACTTGAACTACGTTCTGCAAATTAAATTACTGCACCCCTTTCTTCTCTAGATTGTAGCACTCTAGCAGATACGAAAAGTTTATATTTACCTGCTAATGGTGGTCCTAACAGATTGGCAACTCCTTGAACTAATAACAATAAACCGTAAGCGTTCGTAAACCTGTCTAGTGTTATCAATTCGACTAATATAATACAAGTTAATGAATAGTTGGCAGCTATGAAGAATCCAAAAGCACCTGAAACGACTAACAGAAGCCAGTAGTTGCTTATGAGCGGTACTAAGGCCATTACACCTCCACAAAGGGCCATGCATACAGCGTAAATTAAACTTGCGTTGGCCCATTGTCTGTCGCCGGCCCAACCCAATATTATCTACGACAAAAAATAATATAAAATATAAAGTTTGTTGAATGTACTTATAGGTCGTTTAAATTTTGATATTATTGTTGCTGGAACAAAAATTGGGTTTCCAAAAATTTTATTACGCTCATTAATAGATATTAAAAAACAAACAACTTTTCTACCATTTTGAAAATGCTATATATAAACTGAATATTTTAGAATATTCACCTGTTGCTGGAACGAAATTTTAGTTTTTCAAAAATTTTATTACACCAAACTATATATAAAAAACAAAAACTTTTTCTTATACTATTTTTAATGCTGTATATACAACGGGAACGTAAATTGTGCCCCCTTCTTAAATTCTAAATTGGAAAAAGATATAGTTATGAAACAAAAACGAGATATGATATTTTCGTTATAACGAGACCACTGATCTGTATTAATTTACTGGATAGGATATAGGCTATATTTAACATACTAAAAAACCGTTCCACCAAGGAGACCGGAAGTGCAACAATGCTGGCCGATTTGGGCAAATTATGGTGGGTTCACAGAACTGAAATTTGGGATAATTTGACATACCTAACCTATAATTTGATTAGTTTTTCTTCTTATTCTTCTTCTATTCGTTTTGCGGGCGATGTCCTTCGGGAAAATTCACCCATGATTTGATTTTTTATGAAAGAAAATATAAAAATGGAAACGTGAAGCATATTGTGTCTTCAGGAATAAACGTTTATTGTTTATTTCATACTCTTTTTACTTTGTTTTCCACAATAAAAACATCTCATCGTAGCTTGTTGACACAATTAAATGACAAATGTGATGACAAATGGAAATAGAGGTTACGTTAAATAACATCCGGTCCGCCATATTATTTGCCCAAATCGGCCCATTTTTCGGAACGTTTTTTAGGGGGCTATATCCTATCCAGTAAAATAATACAGATCAGTGAACGAGACGCACTTTACTTGATACGTAAGATTACTATCTTTAAATTTCTAATGAAAAGTAGTCTCATATCATACCTCATTTTTCATTTTCATTATATTTAAGTCCATGCAAAAAGTTTAAGGTTTTTTATGGTTTTACAGAAATTACATTAAATAAATCAATAAAGTAAGTTACATTCTTGTTAACTCTCACATTTACTATTATTGTTTTTGTTCCTAAAGAGAAACTTCTTATAAATTAAAGGAACTTCAAAATATTATTTTTCTACACCCGTATTATAATAATGCACTTATATGCCCATAATCCGTTTCATAATGATACCCATTATGATACAGATTTTTCATTACGATACAGATTTTTAATCAATAGAAACCTACAATTTTTCAATCAAGCATGCTGTTTGACGTTTGTCCTAGGTTCCTATGTAATTATTTTAGTTGTCAAAACGTATTAAATTTTCGTAGGTAGCTAAACTTCGATAATTATAATATTAAAATGTCTGATATTAGCGATATAGAAGACTCCTCCACACATATCGGAGAAAGCAGAAAATACAGTACAAAATATTTTACCGCAAAAATCTAGGGAAATACCAATACCTGAAGTAATACCATTAATTACAATTTTGTAGAATTTTTTATAGAAATACGAGTAATTACTGTTATTGTGTTCAATACCAATATAAATATAATATTTATAGGTCTTGATTATTTATCGGGTGTAGAAAAAATAGCGTATGCAACTCTCATGTAATGGTTATTAAAACACTCGCATAAACCATACGAAACTCGCCTTTGGCTCGTTTCGTATCCCGGTTAATGCTCGTGTATTAATAACCATCATTACATGATCGTTGCATAATATACTATTATGCCATTATTTAACACACTATTTACTGACATTTAGTGGACAGTGCATAGAAAGTTTCATATTTCATTACAAAAATGGTTCGAACGCGTCCTTTAGAAGAAAACGTTACTCCAATCATGATTTTTGAAGGTGCTGGCGAGACTTAGCAGAAATAATTTTTAATGAAAGATTTCCCGAATATCCACTTTGTCTAAAATATCTAAGACAAAAAATAAGGTATCACAGGACACTATCCATTAGAAAATTTAAAGATAGTAAGTATAACAAAAATATCATGATATCTCTCTAATTTCACCTCGCTTTTTGTTTCATGTCCGTATCTTTTTCTATTTGGAAGTTACGAGGGGGGGGGAGGAAATACACGCCCCCTCTATATGTGAAATAAGGATTTTAGAGGGTGTTGAATTTTCAATATTTTTATTGCCGTTTTATACTCGAAAATGAAATTGCGGAAAAAATTTTGCTAATAGAAAGGCCAAAAAAGCAAAATTTTCTTTCCTTTTTTACATTTTTGTGAATTGAAGAGCCGTAGAAATCATGCTTAGGGCGCTGGTATTGCTAAAACCTGACTGTGTGGCATTGCTTTTGTATTTTTATATCCTTATTAATTTTAAACGCATCGGTTAGAGCAGTAGCCATGTCATTTTTAATATCCAAACATTGTTTTGACTTAAAATTCTCGATTCCTTTCATTTGCATATTAGGTATGATTCATATGTAAAGAATCGTTGGCAACTGATTCAAATGAATTTTAATCCCAAATTTGTCAATACTATTAACAAGTAATACGAAATGTTCTCTAACAAAAACAAAAAAGAATCTTTAATAAATGAGTAACATGAACTTTGGAGAAGAAACCGAATATATTCACAATAAACGAATTTTGAGAAAACACGATATTCCAATTGCTCAAAAAGTACTGCTTCTTTTCGTTTGTTTTGTTAGAAAATACTATTGGAGACGTAATTAATAATATATCATTTGCAATTATAATTTTGAAAAATAATTTTTGTTAAAAATATAACAAAAAAACTGAATTTATTTAGTTTTACTTGAATCAAAACTGATATAAACGATATAAACTAATATAAGAGAAAAAAACAAATAATAATAAAGAAGTATCTATTACCAATTGCTTTTATAGTCATTCTTATCCGATGGAAACACCAAACCATAGTCTTCGAACTCATACAAAGAGCTCTTAGGCTGACAGAAGTGTGGTGCGTTAGGGAAAACCTCTTGGTAAACCCTGACAAGGCACAACTCATAACCTTTACTCGGAAAATAAGGCTGGAGGTCTTAGAAACTCCGACTCTGTTTGGAGGAAGGCTAAACAAAACGAACCAAGTTAAAATATCTGGGTCTAATCCTAGATAGCAAACTTACTTGGAACCACCCACATAACATCAATGTTCTATGAATATACCAAGAACGTTCTATTTAAGTTCTTTTTGGTATATCCTTTTATAATTTTCTTAGAACATACTTAGAATATTCTTTGAACATACTTAGAATATTCTTTGAACATACTTAGAATATTCTTTGAAAGTATATTCTAGAAAGTATATACTGAGTACGTGCCTTAAAAGTATATTCCAAAAAGGATATACTGAGCACGTGCTATAACAGGACATTCTTAGAAGATACTAAAAGTCATATACCCAGCATGTACCTCATATTCTGAGAATGTTCTAAATGCTTGCAGGTAAAAATTAACACCAAATACATGTAAAAACAAGTTTATATACATATCTATATGAATTTTTCCCAGATGCCGATCTAATAATTCGCTACCAAACGCACTAATGTTGAATGTTTAGGCCAAAAAACATTCTCAAACTAAAATAGAAGAAAAGAAGAAGAATAACGTAACCTACAATTCCTACAAATTTTTTTGGTCTCTTTTGTTTGTAAGAGGTAAGTCAATTAATCACCTATATCGCATAAAAGTGAGAGACAACCCTTTCTGTGAATGTGGAGATGTGGGTTCCTTAAACCACATCACTCTGGAATGCCCTATAAATCAAATTGTAAGTTTCGACCTATATAAAAAGCTAACGGACAAAAAATTTACCTACTCCTTTCCATATTTGTTTCATACTAGCTAACCTTAATGAATTAAGACTTAAAATTCTAACTCAATTTTTAAACATATTCCAACTCAATTTGTAAAATTAATATAACTATACATTCCCATTCTTTTCAGTCCTGGGTTCTCAAACTATCCTCCGATGGTAGCATTTCTGGTGTGTGTAATGCTTGGTGGCTACCCCTAAGCGAGAAAAGTTAATTTTCTCTGTTGTATTGTAAAAAACTAACTCCTAAACCCTCATAAGTACCGAAAACCAACACAACTGAAAATAGTCATATATTTGAAAAAAGAAAATTGGGATTGCTAATTGCTGAGAGCAAGACCTTAGCTTTCCCTGTACTTACAAAGCTGGGTGAATTGTCCCGAAGGACATTGCCCATAAAAAGAACAGAAGAAGAAGAAGAAGAAGAAAAAGAAGAAGAAGAAAAAAAAGAAAAAGAAAAAGAAAAAGAAAAAGAAGAAGAAGAAGAAGAAGAAGAAGAAGAAGAAGAAGTCAATTAGGCATTCCAAACCGAATGGCTACCATTGGGTTTTGACGGGTTATGATATAGCAAAATTATGGCAACCCTGTAGGCCCGGTGATTTGACAAGGTCAATGAAATAGATAGTTACATAGATTGATCATCCATATTTTTCAAAATAAACATAAGCTTATGCCTTGAAGTAAAAATGTAAGCAATTATTTTTTTTTTAATGTCTAAAGGCTAAAAATTAGTTTTAAAACACATTTTTTCTAAACCGATTCAAATTAATAAATATTTGCCAGGCAATATGGCCGCTCGTAAACGACCAGCTTTGAGCAATCTATATAACTATATATGTATCATTGACCCTGTCAATGACAACCTGACAACAGGGTTGCCATATCTAAACTGTCATTACCCACTGGTAGCCATTTGGACAGGTCGTTGGAATGCCTAATTATTAAAAATTAATTTCATCGTATGTTGTATATGAAAATAAACAAATTTTACTATATTTATAGTTTTTAGGACCTATAAGTGACGTTAGAATACAGGATATCCCAAATATTAATTGCCAGTGTGAATTTATTAATATAGTTAATACTAATGGTGGATTGAAACTAAAAGACAGTGTTACCAGAATTACATACACTTTCTATGAAAAAATCCTGTAAGGCCAGATATTGACCTGCAAGAACTAGAAAAGTTAGCTAAAGGAGGACGAAAACTACAAAATATTGGTAAGTAATTAACAAAAATATATTTAAACTTTCAGTAAACATCATAATCATTTATGTAACTCTTGTTTTTGTTAGTGGAATGCCATGTACAATTTGGAGACGGGCATTTGGAAAAACATGGGGATTAAAACCAAAAATGGGCCACTGGCTATATTTGGCAATAACAAGACCCATAATAACTTATGGAGCGGTTGTTTGGTGGCCAAAAGTAAACCAGAAAACAGTCCTCAATGCCCTCTCAGTAGTTCAGAGCATGTCGTTGTATTACAGAAACACTGAGAAGTACACCGAGAGCCTCAATAGAAATCATTCTAAACCTCCCACCACTTGACCTAGTCATAAAGGGGGAGCCCAGAATGAGTGCATACAGACTGGAAATCTCCAACAACTGGAACCCACTGGGACATATAAAACATACCAGAATAACACATGAAGTAAATGATTCTATATTAAACATGGGATCAGATCACATGACACCCCTCCTAACCTTCAACAAACTCTTCCAGGTCAACTGCAACTAAAACGAGGTAAATAAGGAGATAGATAAATACTTACTTGCGGTCTCGTATGGTATACGGATAAATCTAAAACTAACCAGGGAACAGGCTCTGGTGTACATGGAGTTAAACCCAAATGCGACATCATCGTCTCACTGGGAAAACATACCACTGCATTTGAGGCTAAAATACAAGCAATCGAATTATTGTATGTACGAGAGAAATTAAGAAGGAAGTACAAAAAACAAACCATCCTAATTCTCTCAGATAGTCAAGCAGCCTTAAAGGCTCTTGATTCAAATATAATCAAGTCAAATCTTGTCTGGAACTGCCTTGGAATACAAAATGATCTAGCAACCCACAACAAGGTAAAACTAGCGTGGGTACCAGGGCACAAAGGTATCCAACGAAATGAAAAGGCTGATGGACTCGCCAAAGAGGGATCAGAACTACCATTCACAGGACCTGAACCTGTATTTGGGATAAGCAAAACCTCTGCTCGAGAGGCAGTGAACAGGTGGATAACCACAAAACACCAAATTCACTGGCAACAGATAAGAGGGCACAAAATCAGTAAGCTCATGCTAAGGGGACCAAACCCACGTATGGCTACTGAGGCACTACAACTCGCAAGGCCTCAGATATCCACCATTGTGGGATTACTAACGGGGTACTGCTTGCTTAAACACCTTCGTGTGATGGGATTACACAATGATCCCACTACGTGTAGACTCTGCATACCATGTAATCTTCGAATGCAAAGCTCTTACTGGGAGACGTATCATTCTTTTCGGCCTAGAACCGGAAATAACGCCTAAGGAACACTTGGTAGGGAACTTATTAAAACTAACCAAAGATACAGGACTATTCCAAAGATAGTACCTGAATACGGGGAAAGCAGGGGAATACAATAAGCCCCAAGAGGCCGCAGGGTTCTGGGTCAAACCTAACCCTACCTGCTTATAACAGACAAATATAAAGATAAAGATCAATTGCTTTTAAACTGTAGCTAATGCCGGTACGTTTCTTGTACTACTATACCAGTGGATTTATTCGGTTTTGCATAAAAGTATCTATTTTGACTCAGAATTTTACAAAGATTTATTCTATTTTGCCCAAACAGATCTGTAAAGAGTAACAAAGTCAGTGGAAATCACAAAAAGTGGATTTATTCGGTTTTGCTCCAAAGTTCCTCAATTAATCATTGAATACAGCTAATATATATCTAAAAAAAAAGATATTTACTTTTAAAACCAATCCTCTATCATCTAAGAAAACTGAAGAATGTGTAGGAATGGTTTGACTGTTTCTAAAAATTACATTGAGAACACCTTATTCAGATACCTAAATATATCGTTATTTAGATAGTTTAGATTGTGTTTTGACGTTTTGTTGTATTAGGTCGAGTCTGGCTAATTGGCTTTGCCAGGCAATAAAATTGTAATAAATTAATTGTTACTACCTACTAGTTTTGTCCAGCAACAAGAATACTGCAAAGAGGAGTATCATACCTAATTGGGTAAACAACCTACTTACCTCGCCAATCATATTTATAATCCCAATAATAGAAATTAACAACGACGCGTCCTTATCTGAACAACCATTTTTTCTAGCATTATCGGTAAGGTATACATATGGAACATCGTACCAGGTATAAAGTAAAAAATTTGAAATTGCGAAAACTAAAAACTTCGGATCGGAGAAATGGGAAAAATCAAAGATATCGACGAGCAGGTCCCAAAAATCCCAAAGACCGGCGTACCATTGAACTTTTTCTCTTGCGATCGTTGTCATAGAATTTCTGTATATATCTGGACAAGAACTAGCTCGTAAGCGGTACCTGTAATGAAGATAATGTGTAATTAATGCATTATTAACATTGTACATACAATAATTTACAAAGCCATCAGCACAGCCTTCATTTAAAAGTAGGCAGTTGTTGATAAAAATAAATAAAAAAATACAAAATAGTTATTTATGATATGAGTGCTAAACGTAATATTTCATTTTGTGAGAAGGGAAAACAAAATAAAATCACTTTTAGCACGTATATGATACACTATTTTTTCTACAAACACCATTAAAAGTCCAAATTAACGCATACCTATTTTACATTAATTAATTGGTAAAATAATAGCCTCGAGATTATCAGTTTTGAATCCAATTTCATCTAATCTATTCATGAAACAAGTTGCCAAGGTAAACAAAAACCGAATTTGTTGATTTGTCTTTGTTAACAACTAACGTCAATAAATCACGAATTATTCTTTATGGTTTCTTCGTTCCTCGATGGAAAGTTATCAAGAAAATGAATTTCTACCGCCGGAAATTGAAGAAGCTACCAATAAAGCTGCATTTGAATTATTGCCTAGTAAGTCAAAGCAACAGTACGAGTTTTCATACGATCGTTTCTTTAAATGGTGTGATCAGAAAAATATCAGTGGCAAGGAGGCCAGTGAAAAAGTGCTTCTTCCATACTTTGAAGAGTCCAAAATATGGAAATCGTCAACGCTTTGGTCGAATTCCTCTATGTTAAAGTCGATGATGAACATAAATAATCATGACATAAGCAGATATTAGAAGCTTGTGAGTTTTTTGAAGCGAAATAGTGAAGGATATCGAACGAATTACTTTTAGCACTTGTGCTAAAAGTGATTTATTTTTAACACCAGTGTCATAAAATGCCTTTTTACACACTGACAGCATGCGTTAAAAATTATACTTTTACTGACATTTGTAGAAAAAATGTTTTTTTAATATTGGCTTTTTATGGAAGTTTTTAGACGTTGTGTCAATGTTTTAGCTAAACCTCTTTCCATTTAATTAAAATTTTAAATTTCGCGCTTCATTCACTGTTGGCAATGCTGCATTTTCCGTTCCGTGAGTAACAGACGAACAAGAAGCAATAGCCGTCGTCTGTCGTGATTGTGTTGTTGTTGAGCTTTGGTGTGCATTGTAGTCGCCATTAAAAGTGTGTGACTAATAAAATTAATTATTATCCGTGTCTTTATGACCAAACAAGTAAATTCTATGTCTTATTGAGCTTGTATAATTACCTTTAAAAATAAAACTGTCGTGTGTTTTCCAAGCAAAATACAAACCATATTTCCAAGTTTTAAGTTATCGTCGGTATTTCGAGAAGAAATATCGATCAAAAGCCCCTTTTTCGGTCCAAGCAATAGAAGCATTTCCATCAAGAAATACGAGATATTGGTAAGAATTTCAAGGTTTGTATGGGAAATAAAATTTATTGTACGTTATTCGATTCCAAATATTCAAGAGCGGCCATATTCCTAAAATCTGTCTGAAAACATCACCCTTATCTTCAAAAAGTGTGATGAAACTAATCCTAACAATAATACTCGCATCAGCTTAATTCCTATATGCTGCAAAATTATGGAAATAAGTATTTCTTCATATATAATTGATTTCTTGATATCGAATATTGTAGCAGTTGTAGACCACCTATACAAATCTTCTAGTTTGTTTAAATGACTGGACTCTTTCTATCAAAGAATACCTACCCAAGAAGCGAAACGAATGAGTTTTCGTATGTACCAATGCATGGGAACTTAATACACTGGGAAACGTATGAAAATTAATAAATTTTTATCGTTTGGTTCATAAGTATTAAACACATACTAAAGTAACAATGGGTTCGTTCACCGTCATCAAACAGTTTCGTACGATTACGAATCGGTAAAAGGTAAACGAGCAAACTCGAAACATCTTTTTTGAGACCGTTTGTTAAAACGTAAGAGCGCAAATTAAAGTCGCTTCTACGTTTAACAATCAAAAGTATGCCAAATGGGAACTAAAGAAAGGGTTCTGTGGCAGTGTTGTTCTCGCAAGTTGAAGTAAAATTCGTTTTAATATATTTTCCCGTAAAATAATTTCAATACCTGACTCAAAATGTTTGGAATAATAAATGATCCTAGGTTAATTTAAAGTACAAACTCTATAAAGATATGTCAAATTATTTCAAATTTCAACCCGTCCTTTGTTCGTTCACCGTCATCTAAAGTGACCATATTTTGAAAATTAGAAAGTGGGATATATCAAAAACATTAAGATTAGGAGATTTTTTGTCAAAGAATTCTATTTTAAGTAGTGAGGGTTCACAGGAGAGCAAAAAAACGTCACCATAATGGCTTGAAAGCGAAATAAAATCGGGAAACATGTTAAATCGGGACTAGTGATTTAAAATCGGGACTGTCCGACCTAAAACGGGATGGATGGTCACTTTACCGTCATCGCAACTGCTTACACGAAGCATAGAAACGTATGATTCCCAAACAAATCGTTAATCAAATGACAGTGAGCACGGCCAATGAAACAGAAAATTCTTACTTTGTTCATTATGTAAAATAGATTATTTTATAACGAAATAAGTACTGTAGGTACAATAATGACAGTCACTACACAATAGCGTAAGCAGAAAATCTGATCATTCTGCAAATAGGGCATTTTGAGAACATACTCTGCGAAAGAATGCAAGTATGTCTCAAAATTATAGGCAAATGGTGCAAGGATCATTCACTGTGTATCAATTCCAAGAAAATGGAAATGGTCCTTTTCACAAGAAAAAGGATGAAAATGAAATTGAAACCTCCCGAGCTCCTAAACACAAAACAAAACTTTGCAACCTTTAAGACAGAATGAAGTAGGGACGACATAAACACTGTTTTGCGATATGACATAAGGACGCACTTCTAGTGACGAAAAAGTGTAATGAAAATGACTTTAGTCGTACTTTGATTTATTTGAAGTCAATCATTTTATATTTGAAGTCTGACGGAATGACAATGATTTTATATTTAAATGCAGCTATTTAAAAAAAAAGCATTTATTCTCACCAAAACTGATTAGCTTCACTATCTCGAATTTGACATATGAAATATAATGCAAAGGTGCGGACACTTTAGCATCGTCATAGCATCTCTTCTCTTTATTCTATCTCAATACTTGCAACAGAGGTGAAGCAAGTTAACAGGGAACTCACACATGGAAAACAGAGTCACAAGAGCATACATTGCTTATTAACAATACCGCCGAACCGTGGGACCTACCTGTGGTTTCTTCTCTCACAGCTTCAAGCTAATATGAACTTCATCTCACCGAGATTTATCTACCATAAGCCATGTATCAAAGGTCAAGCCATATCGAAGGGTAGCCGTCTTGCTGATTCACTAGCCAAGAAGGCAGCCAACTAAATACTTTTTGGACCTGGCCCTTCTATTGGACTGACAACATCGGTAGTGACAAATCGGATTGAAGAACATTGCCAAGGAGCTTTTAAGTGTTCCTGATAACACTACAGGAAACAAATACTTGACTATGAATTGACAGAATCTGCGCCTGAATACAGGCAGTTTGACTGATCATTGCCAAGTACAGAAGCATCTCCATATTATGGGGCTGTCAGAAACCGCACCCTGTAGGGGGTGCGAACAAGAAGATGTGACCATCGAGCATATCCTGTACGATTGCCCGACGCTCTCATTTATCAGAATATTTGTTTCAGGCGAGTATTATTTAACACCGACCAATAAATGAGAAGCACCTCTTGGCAACGTTGTCAACTACATTAAACCTGAAGGCTAGCTCACGAGCTATGAGGTGCCTATCCTCTTAGAAGGAAGCACAATGGACATAGTGAGGCATAAATTTCGTGGGGTAACCCACTCTCTACACGTCACATATAGAAGAACTGTAGGTAGCTGTAAATGCATTTCGATTGCATCCTAATTGCAGTGACTTGGTTCCTCGGAGTGAATTTGTCATATATTTTAAGTATTGTTTTGTATTATTTTTTATTTACTGTTTTAATCTGAATTAATTGAAAAAAAAAAACAAATTTTAAATAAAATACTATGAATTTAAACGATGCATAATACGTAGGCGTAAAACATCATTAGAGGTAATACTGATTTAGAAATTTGAAATATAAAACATTTACAGCCAGATGCAAAAACGGTCATTAAAATTTACGAATAATGCAATGTATTTTTCTCAAATAACAAATATCTTAAAACTATCTAATTTCTAATTAATAGTTAGTTAAATACAACTACGTACTTTATTGCAATTTTCACAAAACGCTAATAATAATATACCAAACGTTGCTCTACATAAATTGACAGCTATGTTTTTCGTTAAACCACCTCTAAAACACAGAAAACTTGGCAGTTTCGCTTCTTGGGTAGGTATTCTTTGTTTCTATTGATAATTGTGGAGTTTTTGACGTTGTTTACATACACTTCTCGTAGGTATTCAATCGTGTTCCAAAGAATCGTCATCTGGTCAAATTGGAGAACTCTGAAATTCGAGGACTCCTACTAAAATAGATTGAAGCTTTCTTAACTGTTTGAGTGGATAAAGATTTGCCTAATTTCTATAATATTTCAGACCAATTTGTTCTTCATCCATACTTGCGACTTTCCTTGCCATGCCTTTACTGTTTTTATACTAATAGAACTAAAATTTATAAAAATCCTTTATCGTAACATAATTGTATTCAAAATGACCTGTTCATCATATAGCGTTGGAGCTCCGAATGACTTATACCACTCAACCCTTTTAAAAGCTCAATTATACTTACTGGTAAAAACAATCCTCTTTTTGAATATACTATTGGTGGCAACAATGTCAAAGCAGAAATCCCTCATGTAGATCTCGATCATTTTCTCTCTTTTAGATTGAGCACGTTTCGGAAATCGTTAAAAAAGCAAACAGAACCAGCTTTGTAAGGAGAAAGTCTTTTCAGTCCCGATCGATCCCAATGTAGAAAAACCTGTCACAATTTATTTCAACTCAACTTTTACAATAACTGTACAACTGATAACATTAACGTATAACGTCTATCATAAACTGACTGACTAACGTCAGGATAACCGACTTATATAGCTCCATTTAACCTTCCCGAACGTCCAGATGTTTCTTGACGTGGAATGACATTTCTCGACATTTATCGAATATTCTCACTCTTGTCGGTTATAGTCATAAATATAGATCAGAGCTCTATTAAAATCTGTTACAATTAAACCATTTATTAAAATTCTACGTACCTTGACAATTAATAAATTGTTTCCATTTCTCTAAAAATATTTAACTTTTTTTTAGTCCAATTGTAATGGTTAAAAATGATGAAGAGCTACGCCATTGATTGAGACAGAGATTTGCGCAGACTAAGAAACAAGAAGAAACGAGATAATCGAATGGAGACATCAAGCGAATACCTGATAATAAATATTTCTGTATTTTGTTCACGGTTAGTTATTATTTAACGAATAATTTGAACTTAAACCCATAAACGATCTAAATTGGCGCCCAACGTGGGGCGTACTCAAAGTGTTTCAAATGTTGATCCGAGTATTAATAAGGTAAACATATTTTGGAAGATGATGAAACAACTTTTAGGCGAAGAACCGAATTAAATGAAAATCGAAATTACACTTGCTAATGACTTTTCTGGATCTTTCTGAAACATTCAAAATTCTTATTTCTAAGTGACTGCAAAATTACCTGTTGATGTTCAGCATCGCTCCTCTGTAAGTAACAGAAAGTCTATGTATCCTCAAATCTCGTAAATACGCTGTAGGTAATTTCTTTTGTAAACAAGTCGGCGGCGGCGTACACGTATGATCTTTTCTTGGCGACAACAAGGTATCTTCTCTATCTTCTTCTACGCTAGCATTGTTAGTTGGCTGTGATAATAATTGGGACTGAGTGGCAGCATGTTTCGGTAATAGAAATCCATCGTGAAGCCTACCGGAATCGCTAAAGCTTCGTGAAGGCGTGAGCATGTTGGGATAATTGGTTAGCAATACGTTATAGACGTGTTTGTGGCTTGTCAATAATTCTAAAACCTAAAAAATAAAAGGCATTTTAAATTTGAGATTGTATCGAAAACTATTGGTTTTTATAGTTTAATTAATAATTTTTCATAAATAATTACAATAAACAGTTACTATGCTCGGACAAAATATTGGAGAAGGTGAGTCATATGCATGATCAACACTGTTGTCTATGAATGAAAATTCGGACAGAGTTAGCATAGGCGGCGTATCAAATACCAAATAATTATTTATTATTTATTAGGTATTTGTTAGTAAACTTTATTAAATTTGTTTGTCAACATCTTTATCTAAACAAAGATGATGCGTTAAATATACGTTTTTGATAGTTTTCAAGAAATGAATATATTTATTCCCTAATGACTTCGCTGTGTTTAATGGTTTTAAAATGTGTTTCAAGTAAATAAACGACAGACGGGTTACAGATTGAATATTGTCAGCACAGGCACAAAGACAATTAAAAACTAACTTTCGACGAAGTTAGATTTGTATCGCTTTAGCTATTTACGATAATTATTTTATATTTTATAAACACTTTTTTGTATAAGTGCTCTTTTCTGATATACGAGTAGGTGTTCATGTTTGTGCCTTACAATTTGGTAGTGGTAGTGCATATTCGAGGAGTTATATTTATTGTGTAGTATGTTATGTTATGTTGATAATGGGGTGTTAATACACTGCGACCTAAAAGATCTATTGTGCCCCCTTCTGTCGCCACTGCACTAAGGAAATGTCTTAATGCCTATAGCGACCCTTCCAATCCTATTTTCTCAAGGAAGTGTAGGATTTGAAGTGGCTTCAAGTTAGGTAAGTCTCCCTCTTCTATTTGATATCCTCCTAGATATAGTGCCCTTGGATTCTGGAGTGCTACACATTCAGTTAGGATGTGAATGGAGGTTTCGTCCTCCTCCTCACAGAATCTGCACTCACTATCCTCTACTACTCTCAGTTTACTTAGGTGTCCTTTTAGTCGGCAGTGCCCGGTAAGGATCCCTGTTACAATACGTAGCCTGTTCTTGCTCAGGCAGATGCAGGCTTCCGATCTTTTTTGGTTATATTCACCCAGAAGTATCTTGGCCTGTCTCAGCCCTAAGAGATTGTTCCATGTATCGGTATCGGTATTATTTGTATCGCTTTAGCTATTTACGATAATTATTTTATATTTTATAAACACTTTTTTGTATAAGTGCTCTTTTCTGATATACGAGTAGGTGTTCATGTTTGTGCCTTACAATTTGGTAGGGGTAGTGCATATTTGAGGAGTTATATTTATTGTGTAGTATATTAGATAGGTACTTTAAAAGTTTATTCAATAGTAAAATATTGGTCTTTATAAATTTAATAAAAACAATTTAATAGTAGAATTATATTGTTACAATAGTAATGGATTCAGAGGCGGGTCCAAGTAAAACCCAATTACGTCGTCGAAAGCCCTTATCAAAGGATGAAAAGAAGATTATATAGAAAGTGTATGATGTGCTGAAACAGACACTTCCTACAAATGAAGCTGTAAACCGCAGTTCTTTTTTAACTGGAGTATCTGTTTCAACAATTGAACGTATTGTACGCGAAAAGACAAAAAAGGTTAGAAGCCTCTAAAACGCATACCCGTGGTCAAAAATTGTTGAAATTGGACGATAACCAAAAACAAATTATTCGAAGAACTGTACATTCTTTTTTTTTTAAACAAAGCCCCAACACTTAAAGTTGTTCTTACGAAATTAAGAGAAAATGAAGAAATTCCATTAATGAGACGTGAAACTCGAAAAATTTTATGGGGCCTAAAATTTCGTTTTGTCAAACGGTGTAGGAAATCAATTTTAATTGAGATGTCAGATATAGTGTCCTGACGACGGCATTATTTACGAAATATTAAAGAGTTTAGAGCCGCTAAAAAAAAAGATATACTATCTCGATGAAACGTTGGTGAATGCTGGACATACGGTATCTAAGATATGGCAAGATACTTCTGTAACTAGTCATCGCCAAGCTTTTATAGATGGATTACCTACAGGTTTGAAAGCACTATCAGGTAAAGGACAGCGCCTAATTGTTACCCATATCGGAAGTGACGTGAATTTTTGGAAAATAGCGCTCTTGTGTTTATATCGAAAAAAACGGGAGACTACCATGAGGACATGAATGCGGAATGCTTTGAAAAATGGTTTACTGAAGTATTACAGCGTGTAGAACGAAATTCAGTTATTGTACTAGACAACGCTTCTTATCACAGTCGACGAGTTGAACGCATTCCGATAATGTCCAGTAGGAAAGCGGATATGCAAACCTGGCTGCGGGATAAAGCAATAACATTTACTGAGGAGATGCTTAAAGTGGAATTAATAGACCTAATAAAGGAACACCGCCATAAATATATTCAATATGTTGTCGACACAATAGCTCGTGATCGTGGTATTACAGTAATATGACTTCCCCCTTATCACTGCGAATTCAATCCTATTGAACTAATTTGGGCGCAAGTGAAAGGGTTTGTAGCTCGAGAAAATAAAACTTTTAAAATAGCCGACGTTCAAAGTTTATTAAAAACCGGTATAGAATGTATAAAACCTAAAGATTGGCAGAATGCTATTTCTTATGTGATTAAGGAAGGAAATAATATGTGGCGCTTGGACGGTATGATCGAAACGGTAGTTTTTTTTCTATTTATGGCCTAGGTGTATATACCTAATATGCCAGTCTCAAGTTTGTGTTTTAAATTCTCAATCATGTGTGTTCTGTGTAAGCTTTGTTACTGTTTCCCAGCGCCACTTCAGGAACAACACTGTTAATTAGAACCCAACAATGAATGGTCGAGTGGGGAATCCTACCAAGGCATCAGAATTAATTTTAAATAATTAAATTAAATAAAAAAATCCCTGCCAACGGTGGGATTCGTACCTGGGACCCTTGGATCCACAGGCAGATAATCTACCACTGAGCCACCCACCCCCTAGAGGCTACATCTGAAAAAAAATTGGCTTTGGTATAAAAAAAATGGTATTAAATATTTTATTTGAAAAATTATAAAACTTATTTAATATATTTTAAAGCCGAGGATAACTCTAGCCATATCCATTTTACTAAAAAAAAAAAAGAAACACTAGACTAAATTAAATCATTCGTTAGTTATTAAGAGATGTTTGTGATATACAGTATCGAATATCGAATGTTTTACAATACCTTATTCTAATGTCTAAGTGAGTTAGCATTAGTGCGAGCAGGAATGGAATACTATGAACGTAGCCAGCCGGCAGATACTCTACCACTGAGCCACCCACCCCCCAAACGGTAGTTGATCCTTTAGTCATAACTTTAAGTTGCGACGATAAAGACGATTCCAGTGATAGTTCTGCAGAATCAATGGATTACGAAACTTCATAGATTTAGAATTCAAGTAAGTGATACCAAGCTTAATTTACATATTTTTATAATAAACAAAATACAATTATAAACATAGATGAATTATTATAACAAAAATAGATAACCAACCTACTTTCATCTAGTAATATTCACAAATACCCATTTAATTTGCCAATATAGTATTTCTGCGACACTGGAAGAGTGCATTTTGATATGATAACGATACCTTTTGCAGTTTTAAGGCGCACCTTCTTCAATATTTTGTTCTAGTATAATACCCCATTTAATTTTCCAATAGTGTTTCTACGCCACTGGCATAATATTTACATATTTTAACAATAAACAAAACAAAATTATAAACATAAATGATTATTACTACAAAAATAGATAACCAACCTACTTTCATATAATATTATTTACTATTACCGCATTTAATTTGCCAATAGTTTTTATACGCCACTGGCGTAATTCATTTTGGCAATAAACATGCATTTATGACTAGTTGGCACGTGATTCCGATAACTTCTGCAGCTTTAAACGCGTGATTCCATTCATAATGATCTGGTACAGTGTGATTGTTGTACGTGAACAAGAAGGAATCACCTTCTTCAATATTTTGTCCAAGTATAGTAACGTTATAGTACAGCTGAAACTTTACTACGTTATTTCTTTGAACATTTATTGCAAAACTAGTAAACTTTTAGATTTATGATGACGATGAGTGACAGGATGAGGGCGATGATCAGTTATACGTACCTCTAACGGAACCTTTTCTCCATTTCTAACATACGTCGGTAAATTAACTAATGAACTACTAAGCCTACTGCGACGCACATCTTCCTGATCGTCCTCTTTCTGCTCTATGATAGGCTGCAATACGCTCGCAGTGTTAGTACTGTTACTAACCGAACACGAATCAGCCGACATTTCCTTTTGTTTCCTCTTCAAATATCTATTTTTCTTTCTCTGTTTAGCCAAATTCTTCTGCTTCTCCGACGTCCAAGGCAAATCCCTCATTAGAGCGCCGCAAACCACCATATTCAAAAAAAGCCCGGCCAGAATTAGAGTGGTCCCCCGCCAGCCGTATTCGTCAAGAAGGAGTTGTATCAAAGGAGCAAAAATAAAAGTCCCAATTCCGCTTCCGCACACAGCCAAACCCGTCGCAAACGAACGCTTTTTATCGAAATAATAAGCGACTATTACAACCGAAGCCACGTAACATAAACTCAAACCGAAACCGGCCAAAATCCCAAACGTAATACAAAGTACAGTCATTGAGTTTGCAGTCGAACTTATTATGAAACCCGTCGACGCCATAATAGCGCCGCATATCGTAACTTTCCGACACCCGTACCGATCCGTGAGGAACGATGCCACAGGGCCGGACAGCAGCGGCATCGCCATAAAAAGACCCCCCACCCATGCCGTCGTGCCGCGATTTTCCCCAAAATAATTTAAAAATTCAACGAATATTACACCGAAACTGAACGTTATGCCGTCGGCTATTAAATTAACTACGAAAGAGGCTAATACTATCACCCAACCCCAGCCGCCATCCGGAGGCCTTGCTTCCGAGATGTCTAGCGATTCGCTAGACGACGAAGAAGTAGAATTGGAATCTACGCTACATCGTGCTGATGTTTTTTTAATGGCAGAAATTTCACTACGGTTATCACTGTTAAATTGAACGTGTAATACTGGTCTATCGTCTTCTTCCTAAAACAAGTTAGAACAAAGTTATACAAAAATATATACACATTTAATTTCAGTAGTTATAAAATAGGAAATGAGGAAAATAATGATTTAATCTAGACTAAAGAAGATATTTTGTAGGTTAGATATACTAAAAGGCTTGTTCATACAGCAATTAGAAATCTTTTTCGGTCATAAGTAGGTAGGGTTATATTTAGCCTCTTGGGTACATTGTATTCCTTGCTTTCCCCGTACTTAGGTACTATGTTTGCATGGTCCTATATCTTTGATTAACTTTACTAAATTTCCAACCAAGTATTCCTGGGCGCTCTTTATGGTTCTAGGCCGAATAGTATGTGTCGCTGCCTAGGGCTTCGCATTCGCTTATAACGTGGATTCTTCCTTTTTCTTGCAGAGAGAACACGTGGTGGGGATCATTGTGTAATCCCCATCATATGAAGGTGTTTCAATCATTTAAGTTTACTGATTCTGTGTCCTTTTCTCTGTTGTCAGTGAGATTGGTGTTTAGTGGTCATCCACCTGTTTAATGCCTGTCGAGCAGACTTTTTACTTATCCCAAACACAGGTTCGGGTCCTATGGATGGTAGTTCTGATCCCTATGTGAGGAGCTCATCAGTCTTTTCATAATTTTGGATACGTTTACGTCCTAGTACTCACGCTTATTGTCCTTTTTGTGGGTTGCCAGATCATTGACTATTTTAGGGCAGTTCCAGACCAGCTTTAAGGCTACTTGGCTGTCTAAGAGGATTAATAATATGGTCTATTTTTTTGTACTTCCTTCTTAGGTTTCATCTTACACACAATTAAATTGCATGTTATTTCGACACGAGATGTACGGGGTTTGTTTTTGTTTTTTTATGCTTTTGTAAGGTTATATCAGTTTTATTTAATTATACCTTTATTGGGAAAAATATTTCCTTACCGTGTTTAAACCCCACCCGTCCTTTGAAAAATCAATGATTTGGGTCCTGCGCGCGATCGGACAATGCAATTTACCTTTTAAGTCAGCTTACGGAATATTCTCTTTTTTCGTTGCGTTAATTTGAACTATCCACTTGGTTCGTGAATGCTTGCTTAGTGACAAAAGTGGAGAGCGGCAACAAAAAGAGGAGACCGGCCTATATAAAAAGAGGTGACAATTAAGCCGTGCAAAAGAGGAACAACAAGAGCGATACCGGATAAAAAGTGGAGACCGGTCTACAGAAAGAGGAAACCAACCTACATGAAAATGGATGCCAGCTTGCATTAAGAGGAAACCTTGAGGGAAAAGAGGAACAATAGAGCCTTACAAAAGATGCTGTATGGTGAAGGTGTCCAAGCAAGAGAACAGTAGTATCTTCTCGACCGTCAACCCGAGCCAGATAAGTGTCTGCCAGTCATCCGAACATTTTTTTTACCAAAGAAAATCTATAAAGTTACTATATTTGAATTTAATTAGATTTAAAATTTTGTTGTTTTGACGTTAACATTAAAGTCACTATATTTTAATTTCACTCTTTGAATGTATTCCTTACTTTAAACTAGCAAATTAATGGCATAATTCGTATTTATTAACCATCTAAATAAATGGTGTCCTTAACCATTAATAGAACACTTTTTAGTCTTTTTAATTAAAGATGATGCCATTGGTTTATTAGAAAATTCTAAACTCGAACTCAACGACCCTGATGAGCTAGGCTGAGGGTCCGATAAAAATAAAGTTACTATATTTGAATTAAATTCATTTATTTTACTTTTTACGTTACATAATTAACATTATTTTATCTTAAGAGGCCTGTGTACCAGCGATAAAAATGAGAAAACTGGGCACAGAATTTAAGGACAACGGCTTAACCGAATTAAATATAATTTTGGGTATGGCTTTCAGATAAATGGCTTTTTATCGCTATGTTTTTATTTTTTTCAAAAACCAAATTTTTTTTTTTTATTTTAAACATGACACATTTATTTCAAAAAAATGCAACATAGCGACGTTTTATACGGTTTTTCTTGACACATACACTCATTAGATTTTTAATATAAGTTACTATAAGTCTTATATTTTATGCCCCGTGATTTTCAAAAAATTAATGACAAAATCAGGAGATGCTCGCAATTTCCGACCGATCTGACAACATCGGTGCCGGTGTCGTCGTCTGCAATGTTCAACGAGTTACATTATAATCTGAGCTGTGCAACATTATTGTTATACAGAGTTGGCGGTCGGAATTTTTAAGATTATTGTATTTTGTTTTTTATAAACTATTTTGTGAATTTTTGTTGTTAGGTAATTGTGAGTTTAAGTAAGAAAACTGGTGTAAAAACTATATGAACATATTTTATACTTATAGTGAATTTTAAGTACCTAATATTTCTGTAACTTTTAAAAAGGAATGTACCTAAAATAGGAAATGTATTCAACTGTTTTTTGTTTATATTTATTTAGATTTCTGTATTATTTCTTGATAAACACTGCTCTTCTATCTAATTAATATAATTGGATGGTAATTTTTTGTTTCACCAGTTCGTCGTTATATGGGACAAAATAGAACATGCAATTATCACTTAGTCGACATAGATACACAACCCATTTTTATTCATACAGTGTTTGTGAGAAACAAAATACATATTTCTTTAAATTGGCAAAACAGAGATCTTATAAAAACTCGTTATTAACATAGAATTTATCTGAAATATTGCCTTTCCTTAAAGGAAATTGCAAATTCTAAAAGTATCTTAAAATTATAGGTTGCTTTACAAACAAAAACCATGGGCCGAGTAAGAGTAGACGAGAGAAATAAAGAGAATAAACGAGTATGTTTAACGTCGGCAAGAAAAAGAACTCTTTTTCGAAAGAAAAAGAAAGCCACCAAACAACACCTGCCTGATCAGGATTACGGCCCCAATGCCAACTATCTACCGTTGGATCCTAATAGTGACGAATATAAACAGAAGGCGCTGAATTTCATAAAATCTCTTGAGAAGACACCTGATGAAATCAAAAAAATTGATAGAAATACGTTGGGACAACAGTCAAATCCGCAATGGATTCAAGAAAGGCTGGTAAAGCTTACCGCTTCGAGTTTTGGGCAAATTTGCAAAATGAAATCCACTACCTCGCCTGTAAATACAATTAAAACATTGCTGTATGGAAACTTTTTTGGCAACAAGGCTACTCGGTATGGTAATGAAAATGAAATAAGGGCTTTATCAGAATTTGAAAAAATTTATAATTTAAAGGTAAATCAGACCGGTTTTTATATTGATTAGACATATCAATTTGTGGGTGCAAGTCCGGGTGGTCTTATAGGGGATCATGCTCTAATTGAAATTAAATGCCCTTTAACTATTAAGGAGCAAACACCAGCTAATGGAATTACCTCAAAAAAAATATATTTTGCCGAACTAATTAATGGCAAACTTCATTTAAAATGGAACCACAATTATTATTTCCAAATTCAGGGCCAATTGGCAATTACAGACCGGCAAATTGGATATTTTTTAATCTGGAGTCCTCATGGTATTCTTGTAGAGGAGATAAAGTTTTTAATAATATTTTTTATGTTATTGTTATTATTATTATTACCGAACTGTATTTTTGATATTTAGTAATAACAAAACACTTATATTCAGTAAATGGCAATCCGTTATAATGATAAAAATAATAGAAATCAACACCTAAATCATGAACTAACCAGTTTTATGCCAGTCATTGAAAATTGCAGACTAACTACCATTAGGTTTAAAAAAAAACTATTGAAAATGGTTTAAATCTGAAATAATGACTAAAAATTGTTTTTATTATTCTGAGCGATTCCCAATCACTAAAAAAAATAAACTATAATGGTCATTAAACAAATTTTATCTTATCCTAAACATAATTTAATTTCCTTTTTCTTGTAGATCACACGGGATGACGTATTTTGGAAGGAAAAAATGCTTCCAAAGTTAAAACTATTTTATAATAATTATTTATTGCCTGAAATAGTAGATCCGCTACATCCGAAGGGGCTACCTATTCGGAATAAGGTCGAAACACCTCTATTTATTTAGATTAAATTATGTTTTAATTTTTAAAATAGAATTATAATAGTTGACATAAAAAGACATGTTATTTTAAATACTATATTTCATTTGAATAATAAAAAAAATTATATTTTTAACTAATTAGTGCTTAGTACAACACAGATATACATTTTTTTGTTAAAATTTTACAATTCTGTAACATAGAAAGTAAAACGTGAAATTAACTGATTAAAACTAGAGATCCCCAAGAAAATGGTATTAACTAAGTAGGTACCGAGAAAAATACCTATCTAATTTAAAATTTATTTATATTAATATTTTCGCCACTTTACCACATATTCATTTGGTTAATACTACTCTAATTTCCCGTCACACTAATAAAAACGCCTTAAAAACGTTTACGCTTTATTGATTACAAACAAACAATCCGTTATGCCACGAGAAAAAAATAATAAACCCGGTCCTGTTACCATTCTAATTCATAATTATATATTTCATACTTTGTTCCTTTGTCGCTTTTCCTAATTCTGTAATAGTAATAGTGCCAAACAAGTAATATACCTATGTGCGAAAACCATATTTTGCAAAGGTCAAATGCGCTCGATCGACGACACTGTTGCCGTACTCCACAAATCGCGTCTCTCTGCGAATGCTAGGCACAAATCCCAAATTCGACCACGCGGTCCAGTACAGAGTGCTCTTAACGTTACACTTTTTTGGTAAACATTTCTTTTAATAGTTTTCGAATAAATAATTTTAAAAAATATCTAATTTACTTTAATTTAGAGTGAAATTTTGGTTGTATTCCTGGTTTTTTCGATTTCACCTTAAATTTTGTATGGCGTCCATTGCATTCCTATTATAGCATAGCATTTTTGCCTTTTTTGTAAAAAATATCAGATAGTTTGTGTTTTTTATAGTTAATTTTAGTTGTTGTAATTATTGTGTGCGGTTTTATGAAAAATTTTTGGTGTAAATATAATTTTTTTTGTGCTTTTAGTTTTTGGGGTCCTCTATCGACATTTCTGGCTTCTTTTGTGGAAAATTTAATCTGAATGATACGAGGGCGGGTCAATAAGTCCGTGACTTTTTGAATTTCCCGCCTCTTAATTGAAATGGCAACAATGCTCCCGTCAACAGTCATATGTCTGTTGACTCTTGTCAAAAATTGAACAAGCTGCGACATTTAGTTTGTTTTTGACAGCCGTTAATATCAGACTACCTCGTTAACTGAGAAGAAACTGGAAAAAAGTGAATTTCATGTGCTCATAAAGCATTATTTTTTGCGGAAAAAATCCATTACGCAAACCAAGGCTAAGCTTGATAAATATTATGGGGACTCTGCACCATCCATTTCCATGGTAAAAAAGTGGTTTACTGAATTCCCATGTGGCCGTACAAGCACGGAAGATGCCGAATGTTCTGGACGCCCAGTTGAGGTCTCCACATCGGAAACAATTGAAAAAATCCACGATATGGTTTTAGTCGATCGGCGATTAAAAGTGAGAGAGATTGTGGAAGCCATAGGCATCTCACATGGCTCAGTGGTTTCAATTTTGAATGATCATTTGGGTATGAGAAAGCTTTCCGCAAGATGGGTGCCGCGGTTGCTCATAATCGACCACAAACGCAACCGTGTGACAATTTCGCAGGAATGTTTGGCGTTGTTCAGTCGCAATATGAACGAGTTTTTGCGCCGTTTCGTAACCGTGGACGAAACGTGGATCCACCACAACACACCGGAGACCAAACAGCAGTCAAAACAGTGGGTTTCTCGGGGTGAATCGGCGCCAAAGAAGGCAAAGGTGGGTTTGTCAGCCAATAAAGTCATGGCGACTGTTTTTTGGGATGCACGCGGTATTATCCACATTGACTACCTTCAAAAAGGAAAAACAATCAATGGTGAATATTACAGCAACTTATTGGGTCGATTCGATGAGGCATTGAAAAAAAAGCGACCGCATTTGGCCAAGAAAAAAGTCTTTTTCGACCAGGATAATGCACGGGTGCATACATGTGCACTTTCCGTGGCAAAAATCCATGAATTAGGCTACGAATTGCTCCCTCATCCGGCCTATTCACCCGACCTAGCCCCGTGTGACTATTTCTTGTTTTTGAACTTGAAGAAATGGCTCGGCGGAAAGAGATTTGCCTCCAATGACGAAGTCATCTCACAAACAAATACCTATTTTGAAGACCTCGACAAATCATATTTTTCGGAAGGGATAAAAAAACTGGAGAAACGTTGGGCTAAGTGTATAGAGCTCAAAGGAGACTACGTTAAAAAATAAAATAACTTTTTATCTAAAAACCTGTTTCATTCAAAAAGTCACGGACTTATTGACCCGCCCTCGTAGTTTGATGCCTACTTTATGCCTTTCGAGTGGTGCGGCGAATGATGTACTTAGATTTAATTTCTGTAACTATAGATTCTTTCGTTCACCATTGGTGCAGTGTCCACCAGTGTCAATTACACCACCTTATTTACCTAGTTTACTTCCCTCCTTATTCCTTACATACATGCCGAGTGTAATTCACTCCTGCTAAATAGCTGGGGAGCTATTTTCAAAGTATGGGAGCGCTCATTTCTCTCAAGATTCTCATCAGAAATGTCATATGTCAATGTGGATTAAAATTCTTAGGATAATTTTAATTATCTCTAAATAAACCGAAAAAAACAGTCAGTGAGCTCACACTGGCCCTAAGAGCCCTAAAAATACTGTTTTACGTTGACGTATGACATTTCTCTCAAGAGTTATGGATTATGCTTTTATAATATCATCTGAAATCTGGAATTTATGCAGTACCGTACTTAGTATATTTAACGATTAATAATACTTTCTGTTGTTGAATTTACAACTGTTATTACGTAATATATAGTTATTAATACTGACTGTTTTAAAAATATGCCACTTACCTTATTGCAAATAAGAAGCTTTTCAGAGACTAAATTATCCGAATTGATCGGATTCGCGTACAGATTGTTGTTCTTGATTTTAGGTTTCTTAGATTTATTTTTCTCATTGAATATCAATTCCAGTTGTGCCTTGGGGCAATTTTTCGGCGATATTAATGGGATCGTGTTGTTGGGCTTGTCTCTGATAAGCGGTACTTGTTCCTGAGACCGTTCCGGTACGGCTCCGTTCGGTCGGATCGCATTAGTTTCGGCACGTACGTTAACTGAAGACGGATTGCTTATTTTGTCGGCGTTTTGGAGGTTTGATAGTCGGTCAGCGTCCGAGTTCTGGTCAGCCATTCTTCTAAGTCTCTACAGAACTGTCCGCGTAGCGACGCAAGATGAGTACTGATTGTGCGACGTTTCATATGTGGAGGTGGCCCTTGCCAATATTTAAAGGTTTCAGATTTAGTTGCCATACGGTGCTGTTAATAACAGCTGGATCGATAAGTTTCCTGAAAAGAAAAAAAGAGAAATTATAATTTCGGTTTTAGACATGAACGGGCGGATATGATAACCATATCGCACAAAGATAATTTTTGAGCACGATGCCGTAGGCCCCCGAACTGAAATATCCAACAGTTATACAACCAACGTTACTTAACCTTATTCGCGATTCAAGCTAAGTGATACGCCCTCTGAAGGAAATTTGTAGAAGGTCCGTATGAGTAGGATATCGTTCAGTGTTGTCAGAAGTAGCAAAACTTCGCTACGTCGTCGGATTTTAGCTCTTGAAGAAGTGAATAAGACCTATTATTTAAGAATCAAAATTTGTGTATGGTAATATGTAATCATACTCTATATTTATTTAAGGATTTTTTTATAAAACCGATTTATTATATTGATTTTTTTTTAAATTTCAGTTCATTTATTAATTTTGTTTTAAAATCAGTTCATCATTTGGCAACATTGGCGTTCGTGTTCATTTTTTACATTTTAATTTGTATCAATTACAATTAGAGTTTTTCTTACTTTTTAGCTTTAAATTTGTATTTCTTATAGTATGTGATAGTGTTTATATTAAAAATTACATCTTCGAAAAAGTCCTCAGAAAATTGCAATCTATATGGTGTTAATGTCAAAATCAAAACTGAAGTATTTATTATTGTGCAAGTCGTAAAATTTTGTTTTTTACGATAAATGGATATCTATAAATTCACAATATTGAAATTTTACAAAACTTTGTTTAAAATCAAACTGTAATCTGATTTGTGTCGGTTTTATTACCATTTACATGTATACAAAGTACTACATGATTCACTTCATAATATAAGAATAAGTCTAGTAAGATTTTTAAATAAGTTCATCAGTAATAAACGTTTGGTACCTGAAATGTCCTATAAACCACATAATAAAACATGTCCTGGGTTTAGTGAATACATATTTCTAGATGTTCTTGTAGCAACCAATAGGTGAATATTTCCAACAAATTAAGTCATACACATGATAAATATTATATTTATGACGAAAGCACGAGACTTACACTTAAATTAACACTAAATGAAACTCAAAAACACTATTATAATGAGAATATTATCGAAAAACAGTTTAAAAAATCACAAATACAAAATCCGCCCAAAACAAAAACATGTAAATAAACAAACATCCTACTTATAGATGACAAATGACAGGCGCGCGAAAATTAATTTGAATCGCCAATAGACTATGTACTTTATTAGATAATCGTAACTAGATAATCTAGGCGAAATAGTGAGTAAATAAATTTTAAATGTAATATCCGCAAAAGAACAAAGTGAAACTTATCTAGAACGATTAAAGTTCCTATAATTAAACAGAGTAAAACATCATGCCAAAATATTATAGATTGCAATCAATGTTTTTTAATATGCAATTGTTTATCGATATTTTACATGTAACGCTATCAGTGTCCAAGTGGAGTTGATATTTAAATTTATCTTAGGATAATCTTGGTGATTTAAATAAGTTAAATTTTGTCATTTTTTGAATTTTTTTAGAAATTAGTTATTGTCACCGCTTCAAGTAACTTATTTGAATCGTGCACTTCCAAGAAATTAACATAATATATCTAATGATGGCATAATGGCATAATAGCTGAAAACGCTTTATAAATTATAAATACAAAAAACAAAAATCTTCTTTGATTCATTATAATTGTTACAGATTCCAGCTACTTCGGATTAAAGAAGAATAAAGTATTTCAATTGTTTTTACATTTTTAAACTCATACATAAGTAGTTCTTTCTAGGAAACCAAGCATTTTTTTGAATCATGTTTTTAACTTTTATGTACAAGTAGCTTAAAATAAAGTATTATTTAAATTAAATTCCAGTTCATTCACCTTAATAGTTCCCTTGTAGAGCTAGCTTGAATTAAGAATTCATGAGGTTGTTTACGTAGGTATAATATTGAGTTTTATAGACCAGCTCTTTAATATAGTACCTCAAGAAAAAGTATAAAGGTACCATTCGGAACGCGCGACAGACGACATACGACAGACGACAACATACGCGACGGCAAAGGAGACAGATGCATTTACGTTACGATTCATACATTTGGGAAGGAAGGAGACAACTGCAGACGACAATTCGAGGTAACGATCAGTGTTGCCAGACCTACTGTGTTTAAGTATATTCACTGTTTTTAAGTAGATTCACTGTTTTAAGTAGATTCACTGTTTTTGTATCTGTTCTCTTGTTTTCGCCAACTTAACAAAAGTTGTTCTTAATTTATTAAGTTTGCCTCATTCTTTAGCAAATGGTCAAAGAATATTTTCTCTAATAAATTTGCTGAAGTAAAAGCAGCGTAATAAGCATCCACTACTGTAGGTTTGTTCCATAAAAAAACCTCAAGATAATCATTATTTTTATTTAAAATGCAGCAAAGAATTGATAGGACATCATAAAAAGAACATACATGCCAAACACAACGTATGTGAATTATCTGATTCAGACTGATCTAAAAGAAATAACTATTATGTTTTATTGTTTTTTTTTTTGTTTGTTTCCGGACGTTAAGTATACAGGGTGTCTCGAAATTAGACTGTCATATTTTAACAGCGTAATCTATCTACATCCTAAAATAGAAGTAAAAGTTTATATAAACGTAGGTTCGAAAACGTTTCGTTTTCGAAATACAGGATGTTACAAGTGAAGTCCTGATGGCACATTTTTGTAAATATTTTCTAAAATTTCTTTAGTCACCGGTTTTCCAAAGTTAAAAAAATTTTCTGATACCACAGGCCTACTAATTATTGTTTACACTTTTGAATAATAAATCATGATACAATAAAAGTAGCTTTATTATAAAGAAAATATTGGTTTTCCAAATTTTGTAGTCAAAAATGTTAGAAACAGTCAAAAAAAGGATAATTTAACCCTAAGCCCCTCCCCTAATTTACCCACCTATGAAGATGATCAAAAACTGGCATTTAGTCTATTAAATAGAGCGTAAAAAGTTTAAAATTTGCACCAAATTTCACTTAGTTATCTTTAAAAGTTTAGAAAATATTTACAAAAATGTGTCATCAGGACTTCACTTTTAACACCCTGTATCTTGGAAACAAAACTTTTTCGGACCTATATTTATAAAAAGTTTTACTTCTATTTTAGGATGTAGATTACGCTGTTAAAACATGACCGTCTAATTTCTGGACACCCTGTATATTAAAATTTTTATGTTTTTATTCTTTGTTTACTTTCTAATTTGGGTAGAAAAATGATTATTTTTCGTTTCTTATTCGCTCCGTGCGAAGTCATGGAAAGGGAAGCAAAAGCGATACTAGCGCTAGCTGCGGATAATTCGTGCATTTTAGGGCGATATTTTGTAATTTTGGCATATCAAATACACGTATACATTTTACTTTTTTTTCAAAAAAGTAGGTAAAAACAACACAATAAGCAACCGGAGTTGCTGTGTTGAAAATTGTACAAATACTAGCAAAAAAACAGTGAAACTTATATAAAAAATTTCACTTATAGCAAAGTGGAAATTAAATCAAAGAAATAAATGGATAGGCGTACAATAAGAAGAAAAATTACCTTTATTTTTGTGATAATAACAGTAATGCTGGAAATAGTAGACATCAGAAACTTGAAAGGTTTTAAATAAACAATAAATTATCATTTTACGATGTTCTCTAATATCCCTTTATTTTTAAATCTTCATTCAGCAAGGACTAGATTTCAAGATTTCTGCCTTTGATTATAATATGTGGATGGAATGCAATTTTGTGACTTACTGATGGGAAACAAGTTTTAATCATTCATTCTATGTTTTCTTTCGAACAAAAATGAAAATATAAATAACGATCCTCTTTTATATATTTTAACTTCACACTATTATTAAATGGAATTTTTATATTTCGACAGAATAGGCTAATTCTTCAATGACAACTTATTAGATTTAAACAACTTCTCATACATTTTCCAGTAAATACTGTTGCCTGCCTATATTTTATAATAGATTTTTATTGATTATACATAATTTTCTTTAATTTAAGCGGGAAAAATATATAATAACAATAAATTAATGTTTTACTTGTTTTACAAAGCCATATACCTTTATTAAAACTAACATATATACTTTTTATTGACGAATTCTATTAAAAATTGTATTTGTCAGTATAGGCAGAAATAGTCCTTTAATACCAAAACAAATTGGCGCTGCTGTCGCGCACGGAGCAAATACACTTTTTTTTAATTTACTACACTGTATTAAAATCTATTGTTTAGATCTACGGGTTTTTTTTTATCCATACTGTTCCAGCAAATTTTCATCTGGCAACACTGCTTAGGATAGAACTTTGCAACTACAATTTTCATAAAGTATCTACTAATCGCCTCGAAATACAAGCGATGACTTAGAGAAACAGGCAGAAAACGCTACCCCGAGACCGATCTATGTGTCGTCGGCTTTTGTCTCTCTGACTGGTCGCGCCTTGCGAAATGTGTTTCATATAATTGGTGTGTTCAGACGCGAAGAGACCGTTCTTGGTCTCCTTTCCCGTCGCGTCTGCTGTCGTATGTAGTCTGTCGCCCGTTCCGAAATAGTACCTTAAAGGTTTAAAATCTGAGGACCAAGTCGACCAAAGCATTGAAGCTTTATTGCCTATTCACCAATTTAGAAAAGCATCATTTAATAAATTCTTAGTAACAATTCCATTATTATGACCATCATTTTGTTTCCAAATCATCAAATTAATTTCTTCCAGAATAATGTTTTTCAGTAATTTAGGCTACGTATTGTGAAGTAGGAACCTATAAATACTTTTCATGTAATTATTGTTTTTTATATCTTCTTAAATAACAGAGCAATTGTACGCCTAAAGCTGTAGGTTCTCCTTTCTGCTCTTTGAGTATTTAGGCTTGCAATTCTACAATAGTTATTTATGAAACCAGTTACGAAAAGCCTTATTATATGTAACGAGTGAATATTTGCGGAACGAGCAGATCGAGGTCCCGCAACATGAACGAAT